TTGTGCGCCTGTCTTGTTTATACGGGGCGATAATAAGATTCTGGATTAAAGAACAACCGGTAAAATGGCGATTAATTAGTGCGTTTGTCAGCTTAGGGTTTTACCCTAAATATTGCTGTACCCTTCATTTAGGCGCAAAAAAAGAAATGCTGTGCACCACTTTGGGCGTGCAAAAATTATTGCTGTGTGCAATGGCATGAATTCATTACACCACTCAAATAACACCTAACTAGCTCAAAATTACACAAATTAAACCTTGTAACAAGCCCTCGTCTGCCTATAAACCTTTTTTGTTTATAACTAAAGGAAAATTGAGTCTCAGGATCCAGCTGGGATCCGAAACGCTGGCAAATCTTAACACTGACTTATCAAAGTTTGGGAAATCCGTAGTTTAAATGAAACAACACTATTAAATTTTGATTTACACTGGAAACGACCAACGGTTAACCCGAGAGAAATTTTCATTGAACCACAAATTCAAACTTTATCTGGATTTTCTTTATTTTTACTGGAATTCAAATTGACACATAATTTTCTGAGATCGCACTAAAATCAGTCTTCATTACCACCCAAGAAATTATGTAACAAAGTTATCTTTCACACGGACAGATAGAGGGACAGACATACAAAGGAACAAACGGACAGACCAGCAGACAGACGACAGGTAGCAAGACAAAATTATAAACGATCTCTAGGATCGTTAATAAACGGCAAAAGTGTAAAATTATGGAACATGTAAAAAAAGGTTTTTTGGTTTTTTTACAATAACTTTTTTAGCAATAAACACAGGAAAAATTCCTTCTTTGGTGCAAGCCTCGACACCATAAAGAAACAAATAGCGAAAAAAGTAGAACAATAGCTCTTAAGATAAAGAACTAGTAGCGTCTCATAGAACGAGCGGACGGACGGACGGCCGGACAAAGTGGCCACAATAGCGCATTTTTTTTTTGTGGAAATGCGCAAAAGTGCTCACTACTTTGTTGTAATAATTTTTGGTCTAAAACACAAAACACTTTTCACAGAATTATTTTAACACAATGGCACAACTGTGTACGCGAACTTTCTTCTTGTTTTTTTTAAATCACGAGAACTGGTTCCATGACGATTGATTGTTGAAATGGCAGCTCGGATACAAACTTTAAAATTGACGAAACACCTTCTTTTCTACAAGTTGTAACTAAATGCATGAAACTAACTTTGAACAACATTCGGAAAGTATTCCTGTATCAACCGTTCTTAATTTAACTTAGAAATACCGGCTAACTGCCGGAAAAGTTCGTCTTTGAAATTTACACGCAACGTACTGTTACGTACAGTAAGTCAAATGATCTGAGACCGCCACAGCGCGCAAAGCTTTTTAAGTCTTGACCATCTCCATCCCATTTTTAGCGCATTTCCACAAAAATAAAAAAAATGCGCTATTGTGGCCACTTTGTCCCTGACGCTATTTAGCTATTTCGTTCGTTATAGTGTCGAGGCTTGCACCAAGGAAGGAATTTTTTCTGCGTTTATTGCTAAAAAAGTTATTGTAAAAAAACCAAAAAACCGTTTTTTACATGTTCCATAATTTTACACTTTTGCCGTTTATGAACGATCCTAGAGATCGTTTATAATTTTGTATTGCTCTCTGTCGTCCGTCTGTTGATCTGTCCGTCTGTTCCTTTGTCAGTCTGTCCCTCTATCTGTCCGTGTGAACGATAACTTTGTTTAGAAATGTCCGATCGCAATGCCAAAAGTTGAGTCGAATTGATTCAAAATTCACAGGGCCCTTTTCGCATCTCGCCCATTTATAAACCGAATTGCAAACGTATTTGAATGAAATTTGATACACAGGCACTTGGAATAAAGTACAATCAAACGCTAGTTTCAAAATTTGGTTTTGCGCATGCGCAGTGCCAACTTTTTTATTTATGGAAGCATTTAAATGAAATTTTATACATAGGCGCTTGGAACAAAGGAAAATCAATCGCCAGTTTCAACATTTGATTTGCGCATGCGCAGTGCTATCTTTTTTTTTATTTATGGAAGCATTTAAATGAAATTTTATACATAGGCACACCTTGGCGTTAATTTCAAAATTTAGGTTTGCGCATGCGCAGTTCCAACTTTCTTATTTAGAAAAGCATTGAAATGAAATTCTTATAAACTGAAATTGAAGTAGCACGTCAAAAATTGATTGCACATTTGCAACGCTATCTTTCATATTTGTGGCCGGAATTTATCGATTTTAACAGAAGTTGCATCTTACAAATGGGAAATGAATGCAAGTGGAAATCAGTGGCGTAACTACCATCGGGCAGTTCGGGGCAATGCCCCGAAGCCCCGCAATCTCGGGAGGCCCCGCAACCCGAAAGGTGGCAACCACACGTAGAAAACGACGTGTAGTATACAAAATATAAAAATGTGTGCCATGCCTATAATGCCTCATTTTAGTGAATTGACTAGCAAAATGTCAACGAAGGAATTTTTCGAACTAATCATCAAACAATATGGGATTCTCGAGAGTGATTTCATTCAAATGTTCACGGCTTTTTTATTATTCTTGACATTACCTGTAACTGTGGCAAGTCTCGAGCGATCGTTCAGTAAATTGAAAATCATAAAAAATTATCTAAAAATCTCAAATGGGTCAGAAAAGATGGAAGAATCTCGCACTTCTTTCAATTGAATCTAAGAGTGCGTCGGAAATGGATTTGACCCAAGTAATCAACGAATTTGCAAATGCAAAGGCTAGAAAAAGAGACTTTTAGATTTTCTATATAACTTCGGCTCGTCAAATATGTACCTACAGGGTGATTCCTATAGTACCTGCCACCGTTTAGGAGCGTGTAGGTGGTGCGTAGGGGAGTATTTTGATATAGGACACTTGGGGTCGGAAATCTAAAATAAGGGTGCCAGAGCCAAATTTACCTTCTGGAATTTCGCGCCTGTAGGTAGGCAACCCAACCGGCCGGCGGTGCACACGGAGCGATCTCAGGCGGCGATGTGTGGCTGACACTTGATCAGAATTTTGTTTAAACCCACGAAATCCCGTCTGCAACGACGCGTATCAAGTGAATAAACACTATGGCAATAGTATAATAATAGTTGGCTAGATGTAGGAAGTGCATTGAGAACAACGGTGGCCACGTTGAACACTTGTAAACGTTATTGCTTTTGACTGTCGTTTTCCCTCCTTCCCTCCCATGTCGCTTCCTCGCGCTAACTCGCTCTGCATCGCTCCGCGCGAAACGTCGGTCGGTTGGGTTGCCTACATACAGGCGTGAAATTCCAGAAGATAAATTTGGTTCTGGCGCCCTTATTTTAGATTTCCGACCCCAAGTGTCCTATATCAAAATACTCCCCTAGGCACCCCCTATACGCTCCCAAACGGTGGCAGGTACTATAGGAATCACCCTGTATGTAATTAATATTTCAAAAATTAAATGTTTAGTATGTTCCGATTTTATATTTTGCAATTAATAAGAAGTATATTGTTGTGAGACCTAACCTACACTTCTGGGAATCCCACGATTTCCCTCTAGCTAGCTCAGTTGTAATTAAAATAAAAACAAAATTTTTATCCGCATCTCAAGGTCCAGCTGGATTCTGCCACCCTACAGCATTCCAACAATGACATAAATAGGTGGCTGAACCAAATCCTTAAATTCCAATATGAAACTTTACCCCCAGATTTAATCAACTTGAAACAAAGTAAGAGACGCCGACAATTACCTCTCCTTGACTCTAATAAACAAAACCTGGATTGCAATGACTGGTTTAATTTCAAACAAAAAATTGCGTAAATTTCTGTTTTACAAATTGTTACAATTTTAAACAGATAAATGACACACACAAAAAAAAAACAAATTACTCAAACATTACAAAAAAAAAACAAGACAAAACAAACCACTAATTACTACTTACTTTTAAAATTAGTCCGAGTAACGTACTCCGATAAAAAGAGGTATCCGTACACAATCACGCAAACCAAACACTCAAACACCGACGTCTTCTCTCTTCGGGTACCCACAAATTCAAAACTTCCGTGTTTCCGCAAAATAAAAAAAAAACAGGACGGCGACAAACTTCTTAAACTTCTCAATAATTCTTCTTAAAACGGCAGACACAAAATTCTAATTAAACCTGGATCCACTACGCAAGAAACTTCCACAAAATTCAAAAAATAACGTAACCGAAGAAGCGCCGGTTGGCTTTGTAACGACCAAAAAGCCCCGCTCTCTTCAAAAATTTTCTATTTAAGCCAAAAGCCCTTCTCCTTTCTTCAACATCCCGTCCGCCAATCACGCGAAGCGTCGATTTTTCAACTTCTTGCTAAACGGCACGTACGCCCGGCAATTCTGCGAAGAACCTTATCTCTACTTCGCGCTATACCTCGTTAACGGCAAATAAAATTTAAAAAGAAATTTACATCGAAAAAAAAAATTCTAGGAATAAAATAAAAACAGAACACTTCTAAGAAATTGAACCAAAACTATAACATGAAATTTACGCAATCCTGTGTCTCAAATTATTAATAACCCCCCCCGGTTAATTAAATGAACTAAACAAAATTGTCACATCCAGACGCTCTATAATTTCTTTCAAGTTACAACTAAAACAAAATAACACAACAATATAGATAACAAAAAATGACTATTTTAAAGTGATTTTATTTAAACGATTCTTATTAAAAACATAATTCGTGCCTAGTACTTATAGGGGACTCCGAGGACCGTTAGGCCCGAGGCCCCGAGCTGTCTTGTTACGCCACTGGTGGAAATGCGCTTTTTGTAAATCGTTTACGATTACTTTTTAACTTATCTTAGATAAGGGCCGAAGAAATGCGAACGCCTGTTTACATCGTACTTCGTTGCACGTGTGCCAATGTTTAGGTATCTAAATCAATTAAATTTTACTTTGATAAAAACCTTTTCCTTGAGGTAGAACGACCGCTACTGCGAAGCCGCGATGCTCTGCGCTCCAAACCATTGCTCAACTGAAAATGTGGTGACTTGGTGAGTGACCGAACACCATAAGGTCTCTCCCAGGTTCCCCTTCACACCACAGAAGAGATAATCGCCCCTCAACACTGCACTGATCGTCGTGCCGCACCCTATATAAATAAATCACGTATTATATTTACTTTGCAATATCTTCAACTCAACAATACACTGCTGCGTTTCTAAATATTTGTTTAAAGTTTGCACTTTGTACGTATTCGTCAGATGGGTTAACTTTGTGCTTAGTTTACCTAATTTTATCAGTTCAAGGATTTTATTGAATGGAAAATTTTATTTTCAACTAATATCCCACGAATTCGTCAGTGATAATGATAAGTCCCTAATAAAGGTTTATCTGGTCATTCTCTATGAAAAGAAACTATATTTTATAGGTTGTCTTTATGAAATCGCCAGTCTTGTGTGCCTAATCCGTTACAAAGGAATTTGTGTTGTGTTTTGAAACTTCAGTTAAGGCACGTATTATAATACAAAGAAACCAACATTTTTGTTAACACTTTTTAAACAATCAAACCAGAGACTAGGTATTGTTAAAAACACAATTTGTGGTATTTTAGACCAACAATGCCAATTCGAGAACTACCGGAAGAATTGCAGAAAAAAACCGAAAAAGAATTGAACGAAACGCCCCAACGAAGAACCAGTGACATAGACCACATTAAAGATTGGTTATCTAAGCAACCCCACTTAAATGTCATTAGCCCAGGTATGTCTTCATTCGTATTTACTTACCTTCTGCTATTTTCCATGCTAGCAGATGACCAAATGGTATTAAACTTTCTACGTGGATGTAAATTTAGGGCGGAAAAAACAAAGCAAAAAATGGACTATTATTATTCTACTAAAACGATTTATCGCGAACTTTTTGACGGTCGCGATCCTTTGTCCGAGGAAATGCAGTACACTTTGAATGCAGGGTAGGTTAAGTTGTAGTATCATGTTCCCTACGAGCCGGTAACTAAATGTGATAAAATTGTAGAAGGTATTGGCTTCCTTTGCCGAAATCAAAAAATCCATTGGCACCCAGAACTCTGCTTTACCAAAGTAATCCGTACAAGCCGTCCGAAAAATTGAATCCAGTAATCCAAATGAAGACGATTCTAATGGTGATGGACGTTCTCGTACAAGAGGATGATTCGTTTGTTATAAATGGCTTTCAAGTGATACAATTTTTACCAGGCCTCTCACTTCAACATCTCACAGAGATGTCGCCAAATTTGATACGGATGATGTACTTGTGTACGTTAAAGAGGTATCCGGCGAGAATGAAAGGTTTGCACTTTGTCAACATACCGTCTGCTGGTTACGCTTTGTTCAAAATGGCAAAACCTCTCATAAGTGAAAAAATACAATCAAGGGTAATTTGCACGACCGATAACACACAAGATAACTAAAACTTCCAGATACACTTCCATCAAACGAACGACTACAGTGACCTGTATAAGATTATTCCAAAGTCCGACTTACCGAAGGAGTTGGGAGGAGAAAGCTACACGATCTCTGATCAACTTGGTAATTTCATATACGTTTTAATTTACCTAATTTTCCTTTGCAGCCAAATGGAATGATATAATGTTGAAGTGCAGATCTTGGTTTTTGGAAAATGAGAAATTGCGTTCAGATGAATCAAAGCGCATTGCAAAGTGGGATAATACTGAGTTGTTTGGAGTAGAGGGATCTTTTAGGAAATTGGACATTGACTAATCTACGTATTTCTGGAATGCTTTATTTATATCGCCCATTCATAAAAACATTACATTGACAACCTACGGTATGGAAGGTTTAAATAAAGCACCTCTCCTGAGTTTGTCAACTGCCTTTTATGAAACGACATACGCAATTTTTGTGACTCTGTGGCAGTACAGTACATTGTGATGTGATTACCTTATTTGTATTTTTGTAGTAGTGGTTTTCCTTGGTTTGATCGATTTCGGCCGATTTTATATTTTTTATGACAGTATTCTGTGATTAGGTAATTGTGTGTAAAAATTTAGTTACGTGTGATGCTATATTTTAATATTTAATGTTGTATCTTAAAGTTTCAATACAATTTTATTCACATGAAACCTTCTCATACTTTTCTCTGATGAAAGGATGCATAATATTGTAATAGCACAGGGAGTAGGGACCATACAGGATGACGTTCAACAAATTAGAGAAAAGCTGAAATTTGGCAAGGTATTTTGTTTTAAGGTATTAAATACCGTCTGAAACCCCAGCGTCAGGAGCCTCAACCTTCCCCCCCCCCCCACTTCCAGATTTGATGTCGTTTTATTATAAAGTAATGCGCTCACACGTGCCACCGATAATAACTCTTGCGCCATTATCTATCGTTTTTTAGCAATCGGAAAACACATTTGGGATGGGCCAAGCATATGTAGCCCCCCCCCCCTTCGTATTTTGTCGCTTGTATCTATGCCGCCTGATACATCTGGATATGCGTCAATTGCGACACTTGAATTAAAGCTAGCGCCATCACGGTTAAGCCATGACAAATTTTCAAAAAACAGTGGGGGACAACTTAACGTTTTTAAAGGTCACTTTTTTCTATCATATTTCGACAGGGTGGTGTTTTTAAGTGGACCATTAGAAGTATCTCAGAAACGGTTTGGAATTTTAATTCGGGACCCATTATCTTTTTTGAATAAATGATCAAAAGGAATCATTTACACATATTTTCAAGATGGCCGCTTTTCCGGTTGTATCAGAACGATACCGGAACTTTCTTATTGCAAATGACACTATCTTTTCTGATGCATTTTTTGAATTTCTCATAAAAAATCAGTATGATTTTGTCAATATGATGCTATGTCTAACTGACATGGTTTGGAAGTTTCGAAGTTCGACATTTTTTCAGTTTCAGAGGTTCAGTAAATTAGCCATATGACTGTTGTCTGACAACTTAGCAAGATGTTTTTTTAACGAATGGACATCAGCTAAAAATCCACGCTATTAAATGTTATTGGTCTTATTTTCAAATGTGATTCGAAAATAATACGAATAATCGTTGAAAGTTGACAATCGGTTTTTGGTTAAAAACTTGAAATTTTCAAATGGAAACGATATCTTTACTATGCATCAATGGAAGGAGCATAAAAAACGGACAAAAAAATGCAAGTGCAAAATTTTTCAAAGTGGACAGTTTTTTAAGAAAAATTTTGCGACTACAATTGTTTATCCGAAAGGAAATTTTTTTGCGGCCGAAGCCGATTACCCCTCAAAGACGCTCCCCTTGCAAAAGGTGGTTTATTTCGCCTCTCCGAAAAAAAAACAATATGTCGTCACGCAGGAGTTGGGCGCGTTTACAAGATCTCTCCGACGACACTAATTTGAAAACAATCGGACCCAAACTATAGAGAAGATAGAAAAACACAGAAAAATCACCACGTTAATAATAATAATAATAATAATATGCTTTATTTTTTTGCAAGCTGGTAAAAAAATAACAAAGTCAAAGTTATAGAAAGAATCACCCAAAAAAAAGGATTAGAAAACAGTTGCAACTGATCTTAGTTCTAATCCTGAAGAACTGAATAATAGCATTGAATTTATAAGTTATAAATTCAATGATAATAGTATCATGTGTGAATAATACTTTGCGTATACGTAATGGGGCCCCTTCACGTGCATTCCCGGAACGACGCGCCATCGGTTTTGGAACGAAGCGTGGAGCGCCAACTTCTGGCGCGTTGTGCAGTGAATAAACTCCACGTTCGCGCCATTTCTTTCATTCCAGAGTGGTACTGTCGACAACAAGATGAGTTTGGTAAAAAAAAAGATCAATTGCAGCTGTAATTCTTCACAAATATATGATGGATAACGTAAATGAAGAGCCCAAGAAGAGGAGGAAGAGGTCCAAGCCACTGTATTTGAAGAGACAGAAATTTGGCGATTTGATTTTATTACAAGAAATTAATAATACCAATCCAGAGGATTACCACAATTAATGTCACACCCCACAGCACACACAAACAAACCTACAGGACTTTTGCTAATGTAGTCTATCCTTTTTCCTCTCCAATGTTTAACAGCGCATCCTATTCTAACGGCGCGAAGGAAGGCGCGAAACGAAGCTACACGCTCGCATTCGGCGCGCGGAGGGTCTCGCGCCACGCCAGGAATTCAAACATGTTTGATTCCATCACTCCACGCCAGGCGCGTATCATTCATGGCGCGAGGGTGAACTACACGCACAGTTTTGGATTGACGTCACTCCAAAACTTACGGAGCGTCGTTCCGGGAATGCACGTGAAGGGGCCCTATAAAAGCCGCTTTACATTAGGCAATTTTAGTGCAATGCAAGGCTTGTGCTATGCAATCTAAAATTGCCTTGCATTGCTTATTACGGTTTTACATTTATGCAATTGTGTTGCAACTTTTGTGCAAGTTCAGAAAAGTGTTGCAGTACTGACAACATATTTTGCAAAAATTGAAACTTTTCAGTTTGTTTACACAGAAGGTTATTCTTGAAACTTAATAAAATTGACCATTAGGTATGAGCAAACAAAAGGAAATTAACTGGCTACAGCTTGTTATATGGTGGCGCTTGCTATTAAAAAAATAACACACGCGAAACCAAATAAATTGTGGTATTGACAAAATTACTAGAAAAGTTACTAGAACTTGCGCCAAACTTGCAAGTGAAATAGAACTTTCTCTATTTATTTTTCTTGCACCTGAATTGCGTATGAACATGCGCAGTAACGTATCTCTAACTTGCATTGCTCTTGCATTGCACGAAAATTGCCTAAAAGCCGCTTTACATTAGGCAATTTTCGTGCAATGCAAGAGCAATGCAAGTTAGAGATACGTTACTGCGCATTTTCATACGCAATTCAGGTGCAAGAAAAATAAATAGAGAAAGTTCTATTTCACTTGCAAGTTTGGCGCAAGTTCTAGTAACTTTTCTAGTAATTTTGTCAATACCACAATTTATTTGGTTTCGCGTGTGTTATTTTGTGTGTTTTTTTTAATAGCAAGCGCCACCACATAACAAGCTGTAGCCAGCTTAATTTCCTTTTGTTTGCTCATACCTAATGGTCAATTTTATTAAGTTTCAAGAATAACCTTCTGTGTAAACAAACTGAAAAGTTTCAATTTTTGAAAAATATGTTGTCAGTACTGCAACACTTTTTTGAACTTGCACAAAAGTTGCAACACAATTGCATAAATGTAAAATCGTAATAAGCAATGCAAGGCAATTTTAGATTGCATAGCACAAGCCTTGCATTGCACTAAAATTGCCTAATGTAAAGCGGCTTTAATGTAAAGCGGCTTTAAGGCGCGTACTGACTTGAATGTGCATGCGCTGAGTCGCGACGAACGAACTGGTATGCGTGCGAATGGAAAAAGATATCGTTTTTTAAAACTAATTTCAGCGAATGCATGTTTTGTGTTTCAGTCTGTTCCGACCATTCGTGCGGTTCATTTCTAAATATGGCGGAAGTAATTACTTTTCTGGGCTCGGAACGATCCCAACAAGCTCGTCATTTTCTGTTTAACATTACCAACGTCTCTATTTAAACTTTTAGCAATTTGGTCCCACGCATCAATTTTTAAATTTTTTGAATAATGGGAGGGGTGCTTTGCATTCCATAACACCGGATTATCTTCGTAGAGATCGATTAGCGGAAGGCATTCGTCATTACTCCACTCCATTTTGTCAATTACTACTTAAACCATGCACGCGTTCGTACGGGCAAGAACTGTGTAAAATGACGTCCAAATTGAGCACGCACACATGATATATTTCCTTTGAGCGGTGACAAAAACCGACAGCCGATGGCTCGGGTTATGTGCATTCGCCACCACTCGCGAGAAGATAAACGTGCATGTGCGTGCGTCGTGACTCAGCGCATGCACATTCAGGTCAGTACGCGCCGATCTAAAGCCGGGAATACATCTGACAAACGTTGCCGTTCGTTCGCGTTCGTTCGCGTTGTTACCCGTTTTCACCATTCTCTGGCAACGTTTGTGGTAACAGTCATGAGCGACAGACACGTGCCGAGCCAGTGCATACGCTAGCGTTCCACACATTCGCGCGCATTTGTGCAATTTTGTAAAAATTTATTTTTTGTTATTGAAATGTGTCATTCAAATCTGATACTAAGTTCATACCATCGTATGTACCTCTACTTCTATATAACTCGTGCATCCATACACTTCTCTGTTTTTTTTTCTTTTTTTCTTTTTGTCGTTTTAAAATTGTACTTATAACAATGTATGAAGTACTCGCTATAATTAACTGATTATCACTCATTGTTGAATTAAATTTCCCCGTAACAGTTAAATCGACCTTTTCGTACTAAAACGTAAGCAGACTGCACCTAAACGCTTTAAAACGCGTCTACATAGCAACGTTTGCTGTCACTTGTGGCTTGCCATTTCTTTTTGATCTTTTAATTTTTACCGACATCCGATGGAAAACATTCATTCGCACTGCTAGTCATTTGTACCATATTGAAATCGCTGCGAATCGCGGTCCACACATGGCGAACGCAAGACATAAATGTTTGGCAACGCGAACGAATGACAACGTTTGTCAGATGTATTCCCGGCTTAAGAAGTGAAAATATAAAGCGGAAAAAAAAAGAATTGAAGTTACGAAAAGAGTTTAGATACATAGCACTTGATTTACGTTTGAGCACTAAATAAAAGCTGCTTGTAAAGATATTTAAATGTAGGTATGGATTTAACTTGCGATGGTGATTGTGGCCTTAGGGATAATGGAAATTTATTATATATCTGGAAAATGGTATAAGCAAAGAATTATGGTTACTCTTTGGTATAAGTGAATGATCGACGCAACAGCTGTGTTCGATATGAAGGAGGTGATATCAATTTTGAATTTTGAACCGCAAGTTTAGATTATGCACATCTGTACGATATCTGATCTTATTGGCGAGATAAGTAGGCGTTTTGGAACAGATTATTGAATAATACAGAGTAGCTGTATGTAGTTGTCTCCTGTTTTCCATATTAAGCCATTTAGCTTCTTTTAACTTATATGTGATACGATCGTATTTGCG